AAGATTGAATGCTGTTGCTTGGATGCCTCTCTGGCACTAGAGAGATAATTGGATGGCAGTCTAGCTAAAAAAGATTCCTTTTTAGGGGAAGTAGAACTTAGGTGTGTTGTTCCCTAACACTTTAATGTTCATTTGATTTTCATTCTGCAAAAAAAGCTCTTTTATGTCCTTCCTTAGCATCCTTTAAGCTAGTAAAGCTAAAATGTTCCTCTTCAAGCAGTTGGCTGAAGGTATTGTGAGAAATTCTTGTCACAGATTCAGATACAGTTGTGCCAGTTCTTCAGCATATTGCTGCTGGTAGATTGTGTAAGGAACTGAATTCAGTATATTAGAGAGTTTTTGTTTGTTTTTAATCAAGAGAGGTAGATTGAACTGACAAACTTCACTCAATTTCTGAGCTTCTTGCTTACAGATGAGCTTGTGAACACCTCTGAGAAAAGAAAAAGCAAATAGCTTAAAGAGAGGATTACATTAAAAGTCTGCTGGTAGCATCTATATGTGTTTTTTTCTTTTTTTTTTTTTTTCCCTTCCTCTCAGTAGAAGTCCATTACATAATGCTGTCCTTTCAGTGGCCTACAGTTTGCTAAACTATTAAATATGTGGCTTCTTGAGCAATAATAGTATCCTGAAGGAAGGAAATCCTCTGCTCAGTATGACTTGAAGAAATGAGGTTGGTAGGCCTGAGTCAGGAAGGTGATTTTTCTACCAGCTTGTGGAGTGTCAAGTATCAATGCTTTAGTTTCAGAATGTATTATTTACTAAGTATCTCCACAAAAACTCAGTAGTTGCTATTGTGTTTGTGGTATGCAAATTAATCTGTACTTCTTTGAAACATAACCCAGTTTCACAAGAGCAAGCTCTACAGTCTTGCCAGTCTATTTTCAGTTCCAGAATTATCTTCCCAAAATTTTGATCTTCTCTAAATGAGTTGTCTAAATGTTAGAGTGGCCTGAAACAGTATACCTAAAGATATTTACTCCTGTTTGTTAAGATAGTGTTTATATATCTTTCCTTATTTGATTTTTTTCAGGACATCAAAGAAATATAGAATTATGCAGTTGTTTCATAGAAAAGCATTAAAAACGGAGTCACAAAGATCTTTTTTAGTGGTAGTCTCTTATGGTACTTAGTTCTACTTCTAATTCTATACTTGCTTCTGATCCTAATTCTAGCATAGCCAATAGACAGGGATTTTCCAAATCTTCATTCCTGTATTTTAGGACTTGACTTTGCTGCTCTTTTCCCAGGACCTATTATTAATAGGGTGAACATGAAAATGCCAATAATTGCTTCCCAAATGTAAAAGGAGAATCTGGATCAATTTGGAAGTACAACTTAATTGTGAACATAACTGCATTTCTTGCATATAATTGCAATCATAAGTCAAGCAAGACAGCTTCTAGTCCTTGGGTCAAATTTTTAATTTTATGATTAAATTATTAATGTGACTAGTTGCATAAGCCTTCTGCATAAAAATTGGCTTTGTAACAGAGAGATCAGCTTATCTTGTTCTAGCCTTTTTGATTGCCAGTAATGGGAAGCTTTTCCCATAAATATACACTTCATTTATGCCTCTTGATATATATATAAAATATGGTGGTGAATTATTTCTAAGCTTTATAAAACAAGGGTTTGTTGCTGAAATTCTAGTTAGAAGAAAAGATTAGACTATACATGTAGGATGGAGGAGCATGAAGAGTTAAATAGCAAGTGGACACAGAAATCCAGTGCAGATTTTTCTTTTTCTGTATGATTCAGTATCTTTGGAATCTCAAAAATCATTTTAAGTCAAGTATGGAAAGTTCAATACAAGTTATGGTGCAGCTGCATTCAGTCCAAATGATATAATGCATAGAGAACACAAGGAGCTCGGTACAAGAATGCACAGTGCTGTTACACTCAGTAGTGCTCTCATATCTGAGACTAAGCAGTGCTGAACACAATATATATAAAGACTGATACAGCAGGAATATAAGGGGACTTAAGACAAGTGGTGATGGTGATTAGTCTATAAAGATTTTATAAGAGGAGACAGAAAGGGTTTTATTATTTAGGCAGAAGACAGCCTGGGAATTTTTAAAGCCCCTTATTTCCTAAAGCAAGACTTAAGATCATGTGCAGTACCATCAAATAGAATAAACTGAACACACACACACATGCGCATTTCTGTAATAGAGGTAAAACATGTAACCCAATGGAATATCAGAATTCAAGGTCAAAGATTGAAATTTAAGGTTATTCCCAAAAAATTTTTGATACATTTCTTGATAGGATTTTAAAATGTGCCCAAAAAAAAAAAAAAAAAGATTAAAAGTACCTGAGGTAAACATCTACTTTTAACATATGAGTTTCTTGAATCTTCTGGTGATGTATCTGGACTGCTGAAGGTTCGACATATTTGTGTAAGTCAGTATATTGAACAATTTTTATTCATGATGATGACTTTTTTTTCCTATGGCAATCTGAATTAATTTATCTTTTCTTTGCTCCCTTTGTCAAGGAAAAATGTGAATGCTAGCTTTGATTTCCCTTTCTCGTCCCATAAGTAACTTTCATAATCCTATTTCAAAGGTCCAAAGGGGCATTTTGAAGCATCTTTCATTCACATTTCATGCTTATAAACAAGTCCAGGACTATGACAAATATGAATCTCATTGTGCGCTTCCTCTCTGTCCTTTTCTGACATTTTGCTACACTTTGAAAAATGAGAGATGATGTATTTTGCAATTTCAGAGATGCTCAGCTGGAAACACAGGACCTTATTTATTTTAAAAACCCTCATTCTTTAAAGTATTCTGCTTCTAAGTGTTGCAGTTTCAGTCTTGTGTCAAATATTGAAAATGTTGCTATAATTATTTAAAGAGCTTAAAGCATTCTTAAGTTTGCCCTTAAGCAATCTTCTCTTACTAAGCTTATGTTCTCCTATAGGTCTCATTTATAGAAAACCAAAGTTCCAAGACAAAAATGTAAGCATTTTTCATTGGGGTACAAGATTTAAATGAGAATCTAAATTTTGTAGCCATATTTTCTCTTCATGAAGGATAGAAATCCTAAATTCCATTTGTGACAGATGTCCAAGTAGCAAGGTGAAAGTTAAGATCAGACTGTTTGATAACCAAATTCCTGTTCTGTAGAGATTTCAGGAGGAAAAAATGCCATTCAGTTGTGTAATCAAAAGTATAAATTAAGCAAAAATAACTGTTTAGAAATAGTAGGAGGGTGAAGGAATAGGAAAATAACTAAAAACTGGAAGGATTTGCAGAGAGCATCCAGCCCAACGTTTTGTGCAGATCAGATCTGGATAGAGTGGGCTATTCCAGGCCTTATCCTTTTGAGCTTGGTCTCTCACACTGATTTTTTTTTCCGTATTAGATAGGAAGGCTGTTGCCCCAAGGCTGTTGCCCCAAGGGGTGCCGAGTTCATGCTGGGACCTGTTGTGTTAGTGTGTGATGAGGTGCAATTGGACCTTGGTAAGTCTGTGATAGCTCTTCCCAGTCACCTTGTTTCTCACACTCCTGGACTTGTCTTCCTTGGAGGATTTGGTCTGCAGGAATCTTGGGGATAGAGGCTAACTAGCCTGCATTTACCTGGAGCCCTCCCTTTTGCTCTTCCTGAAGATGGATGTGATTATTAACTTCTTGCATATCAATGGGAAGGCTCTGTGAGCATTTGCACCTTGCCATAAAGTCCTGTGTTATCAACTCCTGTAATGTAGACCTAGACCATGGAAGTTGCAACTTCCAACAGGATGTTTACTTGAATTATGAATATAATTTCTCATGGCAAAACACATTCTGTTTTTAATATAAGAAAACATGTTTACAGCCAATGCACTGGTTGCCCAAGTGTGAATAGGGATTTTGTGCTGTACTGCTCAAAGACAACTTCTGACAGAAATTCATCCTCCTGTTGTCTGCTTCTTTTACCCCCCGTTTCTCTCCCACTACCTTTTCTGAGATTAGAGGAATAGAAAGTGTGAGGTGAGAGGAAGTTCCTCTAGGCAAATGAAAACTCCCAACTAAGCAATTGCTGATGTATAGTCTGGAAAAGCTTTTTATAGGGAGCTCAGCTGTAGGAGGGAAGATGGTAAGAAACAAAGCACAAAGGAATGTGAAATACAGTATGTCTCTTGAGCACCACTGGGATACAGTATGTCTCTTGAGCACACACCGTTTGCTGGGATACAATGCAAATACCTGGTGCAATAAATCTACTAGAGACAATTAGATTGTGAGCAAGAAAAGAAGTTGAAGGAATATCCAGGCTAGCAAGGTGCTGATGACAACTTGATCCTACCTAAAAAGCAGCAGGGCCTGAAATGAAGGAAAAAGAACTGATGGGAATTGCAAGTGTCTAACAAAACAAGGTGAAGTGCAACTAAGAAAAAGTGACTGGTAGGATGTAATAAACTGTGGAAATGCTTCTGAAAGAAGGAATGGGTTAACCGATTGTCTGTAATCATGCAAGTTGCTCTGGTTAGCGTATTAGAAAATGTTATCTCTGCTGTGCAAACAAAGAAATGGAGTAATCTGGGATTCTTCATTTCTAGTATCTGGAATGCTCTGTTACCTTCTCAGAACACATCCCACTAAAATCCTTGTGGAAAAGTTGCCGTGGATTTTGGGCAGAGATGTGTTATGAGCTTGGCGCTAAATATAGGCTTTATCAAAGCCATCTGTTTAGGTGAAAAGGTGGCAATGTAGAGGGAATGGTTGTACCAGTGCAAGGACAAGAAGGAAACAGGCACTCATACTTCTTTAGGGAGCTATGGGGATGAGATGTAATAGTGGCTGAACGTCTGTTTTCCCTTTACAGCTAAAACTAATTAGTTATACTATGGGGATTATGATCCAGAGGAACAACATAGGTTTGTGTAGTTATGTTTCTCTGTCAAAGAGACTATTGTGTTCTATATTTGAAAATGAAGTACATGAAAGGTGAATTTGATTTTTATTATGTTTGTCAAAAGCTCTCATTTTTAATTTTCCTTTTTTTCTCAGATATTTCAGTTATGGGTGCCATGAGTGTGCATGGAACAAGTCTTGTTCTCACACAAGTTGTTGCCCTTGTATTGAAGAAGTTTCACCACGCCAGGCGAGACTGGAGAGGGAGTCTGTCAAACGTTCTGCTGCCCGTTCTGTTTGTTGCAGTGGCGATGGCCTTGTTCAGTGTGAAGCCACTGGCTATTGATTATCCTTCGCTCAAGCTGACACCAGGACTTTATGAGAATGCAGAGTCCTTCTTTAGGTAAAGAGCTCATCCATCATCATTGATAATCCAGGGTTCTGGTACCTTTATTCTTGAGTCCTCGTATTTTAAAGACTATTTGCTCTCTAGGAAGAGTAATAATTCACTCTTTCACAGTAAATGTTTATTTTTGAAATGTTTAATATGTTTTTATAAATCATCATAATGAGGACCTAAAAATAGAAAATCATTACAGAAGATTTTCTGGAGGGCAGGACAAAGAATTTGAAGCAATCTGGGCTGCATATTCTGTTTCGATACCAGTCACGAACATTTATATATAAAGGCATGTTTGTAAATGTATTAAAACAACTGTTTTTGTGCTTCATCTTATTAAGCTATTCTTGTCTGAAGACACTTTCTCAACAGTTTTCCTTATGTATGGATTATGTAGTTCTTTAATTTCTTGCTGAGCACGTAGGGTCTTGAAGATGTGAGTTAATATAATAGGTGTAATTCTGTTAGAGCTCTATTTGAGTTCAATTAGTTGTAACAAAATATTAACATGTTTGGATTTGGTTTTGTTTTCTGTGGGCCACTTTGAACAGTACTGGAGATGATAACCTTGGAGACCTTTCTCAGATTCTGCTGAGACACTTTTCTGATTTGGACCATACGTGCATACATTCACAAGGGTAAGCGTGGATAATGTAACTGTAACTATTACAAAAGCTGCTCTGTTATCTCTCTGTACTTTATTGCTGCTAATTTGACAGGCCTAGATGTTGGTGAAGAACTCAGTAATAACAATTTTATTCTTTAAAATGTAACATTAAAAAATCATTACCTGTTATTTGGGGCTCGGAATACTTTTACTGAATGTATCTGCTAAAAATATAATTAAAAGCTATTGATGGCTTTGAAAGTAAAAGAAAGGGTAAAAATAAATGTTGTGAGTAAGCTGTACATTCAATATTTTACTCTATGCACTGTAGACTCTTTTAAGCTTTTCTTGGCATTTTAATAATATGATTCTTGGCAGATTAATAACAAATATCTCCGATGAAGAAGATAGCATTCAGGTACATAAGTAAACCTCTTTGTTCAAGGTCCAGTTCAAATCCCTTGCAAGTCAGTGACAGCTTTCCTAGTTATTTGAGGAGGACTTTGATCAAGTCTGTATAAGTGAGGGTTAGAGAGTAATCACAGTGCTTAAGAGGAGTTCCAGATTTCCAAAGTTAGCAAAGTTGGGAGTGGTGACTATGGTTTACTTATTTTATGCATGAGGAAAAAAACTGGTGTACAGCTAACTCATGGCTTACATACATAAATATTTTAGTGACCCTACTTTGGTCTAAATGAGTAAAACAGACATAGCTTCACACATAACTGCTGTTGTGACAGACTACTAAGAAGGTAATTAGTTTGCCACATCTGTTTTTTGCCCTGTGGATTTTCTCTGTTAAATAGTATATTTTTCTTCTTATTTTTTAATTTTTATTCTTTTTCTCCATTAGGAAAAATAATTCATGTTGGCAGATGGAATCTATTTCACAGCAATTTTCATGTGGATGTGTGGCTGAACAGGAGGTATGTCATTTTATACGTAGTATGCACCATATGTTGTATATATGCATAAGTATCCATGTAGTTATGTGTGTGTGTGTATATATATTTTTGGATGTGTTTTTCCCTTGATTATCTCCTTTTTGAAGAGGGGACAATTCTGAGAGAGGGGGATAAGAATGTAAACCTTCAGTGTACTGGTTTTGTTATAATTGGAGATTTCCTTCAATTCTTCTTTTCCCAACATTTGGGCTACGTGTTCTGAACTCTTCAGGGAGATGACCTGTGTAATCTCAGCAGAAAATCTGCTGTCATTGTGTTAACATTGTAAAACTATTGCCTCTTCCAGAAATGAATTATTGTGGAGATATTTAATGTGAAACAGATGCCTTAGAAACAAATTAACAAGAAAAAAAATGCAGTATATACTTTTCTGCAAATTATATTGAAGTACAATTTTGCATAAATCTGAATATCAGGCATGACTTAAGCAATACATACTAATTTAGTGTATTCAGTCAGTGAGAGTAGTGAAAGTGATACCTGCATCTAGAACTAATCAGATTTTGAATTTTCTTAAAGCTTTACATACTGAACAAAGGCAAACTCTGTACTTTTTGAAATTAGGGGGGTATCCCAAAATAGTTTGTTACACTAAAGCATATTGCAATGCTTACAAAATGGAATAGACCACAACATACAGTGACTGGAATTGACGTGACTGACATTCCAGAATATCTTTGAACTCTTTTAATACTTTGTTCGGGGACAATTTGTTTTGGAAGGCTGCCTTACAGCCATGGAACATGGATGCCCTGACTTCATATATCCTCAAGGAAACCATAAATCCACAATGTTTTTTTTTGTGAAATACTCTCAGCTAATCTGCATTTTTTAATAAAACTACTGCATTGGAAAGTTTTCAAACAGTTCTGTAGTATTTAGTGATAACCAGATAGAAAAAAATATGTGCACATTAGTGATAATTCTGTGATTCATCTAAAGCAACAAGAATGAAGGATGGCTGAGCATTTAGCAGACACGAGTTTTCTTTAAATGTGATACAGGACTTGCATATTCATGGAAATGGTTAAAACATAATATTTGACAGGCTGGAAGACTGTCTACTTTCGAAAGGGAAAAGGCAACTGAAAAGCTACTGCGAAATTTGCTTGAGACAGAGATTTTATTACTAGAATTTGGTTTTGCTTTGCATCTTATATCTGAAAATAAAACAGCCTTTGAGGAAGGAAAAGATCTTGGAGGGAGAATTTCTGATTCATAAGTTTGCCTACTGTCTTGCTCTGAGGCTGAGAAGAATAAAAAATGAAAACAGTGAAACTGTGGCTATGCAAAAATATTTATTTGCCTTAATGAGACTGTTGCACCTAATATTTATATCCTTATTAAGCAAAGAAGTTATTTAGAGTAAAAATTGCATCTCAAGTATAGTCTTAAGGTTTGGGGAAAACAGAAGGCAGGAAAATTAATTTTTGATTTCCTAGCAAGGATGGGTTATACTAGCAAAAGAGAGATTTAGAATGCAGGTGAAAATGGGAATAGTAACTTGGTCTCCAAGTGAAATCTCTCCTGACTGTAAGCAGGAAGGAGAGAAGTCACTTAACAAGGGAGCCAGAGACTTCATCAGTGAGCTATGGAAAACTGGAATCTCCGGCAGAGTGATTTGGGTATGGTTCTGTTATCACTTAAGTATGAATTTTGTTTCTTTTGTTATCCTTATCTGTAAGGATCTCTCATACCTCTTACTATAGTATTTGGCTTGATTTCTTTGATTCAGTGGGAATATCCCCCCAAAACACTGGCATGTATCTTCCTTTATTTTCCACCTCTTGCCCATCAAGCAACTTTCTTTTAAAGAATGTTGTGTGGATTAGAATTTTCATCCTGTGTTCATCTAGGGCATTTTTAATGTTTCTTTTCAGACCCAGCAGGTGAGTAGTAACAACCATAGAAGTCTTATTGCCTTTTTATCTGCTTTCCAAATTTGATGCTTTCAAAACAAAGCTGACTAACAGGGTTGCAAGAGAAATCAAAGGTGGCTCTGATATGTAGGTGACAGGTACAATTACTTGAGATGTTTTATAAACATAAAACTATACATAATTTATTGAAAAGTTATCAAAGCAGAGAAAGAAGGCAAATACAGTTCAAAAGCAATGCCAAAAGCTCCGAGTGCAACTTCAAAAATATGGCTAAACATAGTGTCAAGGGTTTCTAAGAGTGTTTTAATGATTCTATATATGTTGTTTTCAGATGTGTTCAAGTTTCAATGTCTCTGCTCCCTATGTGAAGAATAAGAAAGGACATATTCTGTATAATCTTTCAGGGTTCCTTGTTGAAGAATATTTAGTCAGGCCTTCCAACAAACCAAGGTAAGCTGGTAAGCTTAAAATTCATTACATATGTTTACTTCATGTATAAAACACATTGCCCTTCCTGACTCAAAGCATAGACCTGAATCACTTGGAGTACGAAGACTAGCTGCCTTTTTCTGTTAGTTGTTACTAAGGTAGATAAGCTAAGGCAATATGAAGCCTCCATCCCCTGGACTTTTCAGTTTTCCACAACAGTTGCATGATAATTATCTGTAGTGTGGTCTGGCTTCTTGTTACACAATGAATGTTTTCATCATCTCAGAGTAAGAAGGATTTTATATTATCTATGCAAGATAAGCATTCCTTGAAGACTCTGTCAATACTGATGCATGTGACGAAATTAATGTTGTCTTTGTACTAATAAGGCTTGATGCTTACTTATGGTTGTCCCCTCTCTTTCCCCAGCCAACCCCACCCTCCAGCAAGACTTGATATTCTCTCATGACAGTTTTGGAGGGGCTAAATTTTACTTTCAGTTGGAATAAATAAATATTAATGTAGATCTTTGCACTTTTATTGTCAGAAAAGACTGCTAAGGAATACAAAGCTTAAGGCAAGTGACTTACTGTTATTTTATATTATTAGATATGGTGGCTGGTCTTTTGGAGAGAAGACAGCCTTTGACCTTCAAAATGTAAAATTGAATAACACCAAATACAAGCCTGTGGCCAAGGTAAGGAATGTGTTTGTGGGTATATGTATACATATATCACTTATCTATTTAGTCTTCAGCCTTTACAGTGCTTCACAAATAATAAATAGTTACATAAAATCCTTGTGGTAAAAGTTGGGAGAAACCCTGTGGATCTTGCAGTCCATTTTTCTGCTTAGAATTTTTATTCTCCTGTATTCTAACCAGTTTTAAATAAGTCAAATGATATGATTTTCGCTATTTTTTCTTTGAAGCTATTTTAGAATCTACCTAAGCTCACCTTCAAAATTTCTTTGCCTAGTAGTCAGCCCAAATCATCTTCTCTATTCTTTGTGTTCTACAAAAAGTCAATATAAGAATTGACAAAAGTCCATAAAACTTCAGAAAAAAAATAAAAAAAAGAATTGTTATTGATGGCTCTCTTATTCCTACAAGGGATTTTTTTTGTGTTAGATTTTCTCTCTTTCTTTTCTTCCTCTCTCAATTTCATTTCTTTTTTTTTTTTTAAAAAGTTTTAGGTTTGGACAGTATCTACTTCTGCATAAGAAATATACCTATCAACTCATATACTTTCATTTAAGTCATTCATCCTCTGTACCTCCAGCTTCCTTTTAGCTTTGAAGTCCAGTTCCATCAATCCTCAGTTAGGAGATTGAAGTCCTAGAGGATTAGATTAAGATATGTTTTCCTATCTACTGTTTTTGTCCTATGTATTTTTAATCATTTTAGAGGTTTGTTTTGACACGCTTGCACTATGTTTTTTTATAAGGGTCCTTTCTTTAAATGTCTTTGGCACACAGCTCCACCTGTCATCAGCACGAGGATAAATTATGGTTATTCTCTCAGTGAGTAAGCTTCATATTTCAGAGCCAAAGAAAATAGTGGAGTAGATTTATAAAGGGCACTATGTTATCTAAAATACCTCCTGGATGTGGCTTTCAACTGATGCAATGTCAAATTATTGCATTAACCTTTCAATAATTAATGACCAGGCTTTTACTTTGACCTTTCAGGCTTGTTCACAAGGCAGTCAATGTAGCATTTACATAGTCTGTTATGAAAGAAAATGAGAAATTTGCATCTGAAGAGATGCACCATGTGTTATTCATTTCATTTTGGAAAATATCTGAATCCTTATGTTGTTCTCTTCCACTGCAAAAGCCAACTGCATTTCTCCAGTTCAAATGCGGAATCTGAATAGGCAGTTTTAATGAGAACTACTGCTTTATTTATGGAACTGTGCTGCAGATACCACTTAGATACATAGTGTGTATGTGTGCATGTGCGGGAGAGCATATCTGCCACAGGCCAAACAGGTTCGATTCTAAACATTAAGTACTGACATTCATTGATCCCTACTTCATGGCAAAAGTGGAACAACTTCTCAACTTGTTTTTTCCTCATTTTTGCAGACTTGCTGACTATATGTTCCTTGTCATTTTTTGTTAAGATGGGCAAGGAGTGTTCCGTAATGATTTCATAGTTGCTATTCGCAAAGTTATTGAAAACAGGAAGAACAAGTGGTGAATTAAATAGTTGTAAAGGGTAATTTGCCTGTCATTTTGAAGTTCTGATCTGAAAGGTTGAGATTTGAGGCTTTACTGTACAATGCTATTAGAAGTATCTGTTGAAAGCTATGTCTCTCCAGTAGAGTTTACCTCCATTCTGTCCATAGTGAGTCTTGCCCAGATATCCTCAGGGAATTCTCTTTCCCTCTTCACCCTTTATTTCTCAGTCACTCAGTATTCATGGTAGACTGTAGATTAGTCAGCTAAAATACCAGTGTACTGGAGTAGGTATAGGTAATATGGAACACATTTAACACATTTTTGAACTATGTCTATCTGATGTGGAAACTGATCTCTCTGGGGGAGGATTTTTATCTAACTGCGAGTGAAAGATGAAATGATAAAACCTCTCAAATCAATCACGATAATTTGTATTTTTTCTGTTGCCTATCTTTATCTTACACCTCCTCCTGTAAGCAATTATTTGTGAGGATGCAGAGAATAGGAGAGAACTTCAAAGACTTCTTTCTTTCAGGTTATAAACAATTAATCATCCAGCTTTAATGCAGTTATTTCCTGGTGATTTGATTCAGTTGCATAGTGTAGCTTGAATAAGGATTTCTAATTACTGTGTGGGATATTTAAATGTATTGTTACATACAATTCTGTATTGTATTCTGTTACCTTTTCATTTGAATATTAGTCACACTATTGTATTTCTAAGGTATTCTGTGCATACTTGAGACCTTTCCCCTGCTTCAATTAACTGAGGATGTGTCATCAGAATTTTGCTTTATTGTTTTTTTTAATTGCCTTTTTCCAATACAATGAGTGTAATTGGAGTGATTTTTCATTACGCATGTTTTAACTATCTGTTCTGCACAAATCATTCCAAACATGATAAAAAAGAAATGGGAGTGTGGAGGTAAAGAAGCCTGGCTACCTTTGCTTTAGGTATATCCAGGAGTGTAAAGACTAGCACTTTTCCCTGGATACTTGAATACTGTTTTTCATCTCTTATGGAGCCCTCTTATTGAAAAAACAATGAGAAACCTAGTATGTAGAGTAGTTTGGGGGAGATGAACTGATGACAAACACAGGAATTACATGAGCATTTTTAAAGAGGGAGTGAGTTTGAGAGCTTGCTCTTTTTTATTTTCTTTACATTTTTTTTTCCTTTAAATATTTTTCTTCAGCACCTCTATAATCAGCACTAGTTATTCTTGCACCTCAAAGACTGTGTTCAGTTTTGGGCCCCTCACTACAAGAAGGACACTGGGGTGCTGGATCGTGTCCAAAGAAGGGCAACGAAGCTGGTGAAGAGGCTGGAGCACGGACGTTGTGAGGAACAGTTGAGGGAGCTGGGGATATTTAGTGTGGAGAAGAGGAGGCTCAGGGGAGACCTGATTGCTTTCTACAGCTACCTGAAAGGAGGTTGTAGAGTGACAAGGGGTCAATCTCTTCTCCAAAATACTGCTGATATGAGAAGAGGAAAGCCTCAAGCTGCTCCAGGGGAGGTTCAGGATAGACATTAGGAAGAATGGAAAGAGTGGTTCCAATGCAAAGAAGCATTGGAACAGGCTGCCCAGAGAAGTGGTCAAGTCATTGTCCCTGACAGTGTTCAAGAAATGTGTAAATGAGGCACTTAGGGACATGGTTTAGCGGGCAGGATGTTGAGGGGCTTATGGTTGGGCTTGATAATGTTGAATGTCCAACCATAGCAATTCTATGATTCCAGGAGTTCTATCGTTTTTGCAGATGCTACCATCCCAGATATAAGTTTGAGAGTCAACACTGCTTGCAATGGTGAGACTTAGATCACATGAATGAATTTGTGGATAAAAGTATATTTCAGAATAATTTCATACTCACTGCAATTGGCAAATGTTACTCTCATGTTGTTTTGCCTCCTTTTTGACCAAAAATGTATTAAGGGTGAGGGAGGGTATTCCATTAAGCCAGAGAATGTCAGTTTTAATTAAGGGAGGTGACCACCTCAACGAGTGAAAAACAACCTGCTGCATTCTGAAGGACCTGGACATATTACAGGATTCTGTTTTTGCCTAGGTCACCTTTTTCTGTAAATAGGTCTCTTAACCTGACCATTCATCTCAGATGTCTTCTTTCATGAAATTTGTTAAAATGTGGAAGCTTTCAGATCTGGTGTTCTGATTAAAGGCATTTTGATTTACAGTGTCCATTTTCTCTTTTAGGTGTGGTACAACCAAAAAGGCTTCCATTCACTGCCATCCTACTTAAATGAACTAAATAACTTTATTCTATGGCTGAATTTGCCTCCTACGGTGGACTGGAGACAGTATGGTAATAGTCCTTCTTAAGTGTTTGTTAATATCTTTTGAAAGTTTTTTTTTTTTTTTAAATAATTTGCAATATGAAAGTTTTGTTGATATCAAAACAGGTTATAGAGTAAAATCTGAATTTACAGTTCACTCTCTATACCATATGAATTGCAGAGGACATTCCTAAAGAATAAATAAATTAGTTTGCTTCAGTTGGGGTTTTACTTCAGGTAGAACCTAGGGCTGCTGATAAATGCATGATAATTTATGTATTTATAGCTCATTCATTACCCATCTCTATCTCCTATAAATTCACATGGCAATGTGATGTCTAGTAACATTCCATTTTCCAAGGAAAAGGAAAGGCTGGTACATCATACTACTCTATACCAAAGGGGAGTTAGATATATTTGATGTTCAAAATCTCTGATTTGGCTATCCCTGAACCTGTGTAGGTTTACTTAAAATCCCCATTTAACAGGCTGACATTTTTTGCTAATCATTTCAGCCAAAGCATAGTCTTTTAACATGGATGAATTTTTAGGATGTTGAATTCTATCTTAATATCAAAGTTGGACAATTGGGTCTAAGTTCTGTTCGTGTCGGTTCCTTTCATTCTTGAAGTTACATTAAAAGGGAATTAATTTGGTATGGAGACATTTGAAACACTTATGGCCAGTTTGGAACATTTTTTCCTTTTATAAGATCATGTATACTCTGGTGGTTTAAGGGTGAAATGACATTCAGAGATTCCTTTCTCTTTCCTTGGAATAATGTGTTGTAGAGAAAAGAACTTAGATTTTTTTTCTTTCCTTATTTCTTCATTTTTATCTTTCTTTATTCTTTATTTATTTTATCTTTATTTTTTTCTCTGAGGAGGAGTGTTTATTGTTGATGATTGTGATTTTGATTTATGCATTGGATTTTTGTCACCAAAACAAAAAGAGTAATGTTGCATTTTCACTTTGAAGACTTTTAAAACTTTTTACCCATCCTTCCTAAACATAGCAGATGATGTGGAGAGTTACCAGAGTTTCCCAATTCTTGTGTTAGTCTGATCTTTTATCACTCCTATGTATTTATAAAAAAGGGGAGAGAGAAGATGAAATAGAAAATTGTAAAGTTTTTAGAATGTCAAGTGAAAACAGAATAATGCTATTTGCTTTCAAAATGGTTGGGATTTTATTTTTTTAAATGAATGGTTAGCACAAATCAAGGATAATATATTCAGATTTCAATGAAATCAGAATATTTTAAAGAACGTTTTTAAACAAAAGAAAAATCAACTTTTTATGAAGTTTGCCTGTTTTCAATGAAAAGCATTGATGCTGGTTTGTTTTCTGTAGCACTGTATATCCTGTTCAGGAAATTCAGCATTTAAGTACCTTTTGTATATGTAATGGAGATGCAGGGATTTACCATTCAGAATAAGTTTGGAGAAAATCATAGGTTTCACAGATTATGGAAATGTTGTAATTTCTTTTTTCTTTTTTTCTTTTTTTTTTTTTTTTAAATGCATGACAAAGAAGCAGAATAATCAAAACCATGCTTGGTAAAAACTTGAATTGTATGGCTGTCATCTGTAGAAATATAGACTATTTGTGTACTCTACTGCCTTAGTACTTTGGACGAAAATAGAACTCATATAATAGACAGCAGTTTAGTTATGTGCATCATCATTGGACTTGTGCCATAAACATGGATTGACCATGCTCTTAAGATCTATTGGAGAGGAACCTAACAGGGAAATCCTAGAAAGAAAGGGAAAGCAAGCTATATTAAAAAGGGGCATTTTTCAGTGATAAAAGGGGCAGTTAATCTTGGTTCACTTTGACTTTTAACTTTTCTCATTTAAGCATGTTGCTCTTGTAACTATTTACATTGTTTTCTTATTAGCAGGTTCAGTGCAGTTCTGTATAGTAGTGGTCGTACCTACTGTATCTCAAGATTGAAATCTATTTGGTTTGATTTTTTATTTTAATCTTGCAAGCATTAACTCTATATGCAGCTGTATGCATGGTATTTAAAACAGCTGCTGTGAAGTTTGATAGGAGGTTGCAGAAGTGCAGCTCAGTAATTCTTGTTCATACTAAAGCCATGTTTTTGATAGGATAACTTCTTCTCTGCCCCTTCTGAATTATATTATTTTTGCGTCACTTAAAAGTAACTTTATGAGGATACAGTCTTTTCTTCCTTAATAAAAATAGATCTTGCTTTACTGCACATCTTGTCTAATGTCTTTTCTTCAGTTAGGAGGTTACAGTGAAGAAAAACTTAGGAGAGTTAGGATTTTGTTACAAGAGTTTGTAGGAGGAAATGCCTGAGGATAGGAAGGACATATGTTACCTTATGTTGACTTATATCCTGAGATTTGTATGTGATCAAACAGTGGAAAAAAAAGATTTTTTCTTCTCTTGCTGTGTCCCTTCAAGTTATTATAGCCTGACTCTTGATCTTACTGAGCATGCCAATGGGCAGCTAGTGGCTATTTAGTGACCGGCAGAGACTATCCTTTTATCATGGCCAAGCAACACTAGCAGCTATAGAAATCCTTTGTTTGCTAGTGGTGAGATTTCTTTTTCTTTTTTTTTCCTGAACTATAGATTCCCTCTGGATCTGTAAGTAAGCTGAGGATGCTTGAAAAATCTACTTTTTAAATGTATTTTTAGCAAAAGGAAGGAGTTAGTGAGATTTTTTTTTTAAAGAAAAAAACATGTATGATAGCAAGCTACAACTTGTAACTAGATGATCAGAAATTGGCCAGATTAAATTCCAAAAACAAATCATAGTTAATGCATCAGATATCTGTTTTTGGTACAGTAGGAATGCTTGTTATCTGAATAGGGCTAGGACTCATCTTCAGAACTATATGGATAAGCACCTCTAGCATCATATAAATCTGTTTCTGTCCTGCTCACCTATCCTACTAGAAAGGAAATTAAGTACACTTTGTTTCCTAGCTAGTTTAATAAGTAGTACTATTGACTGAGACTTACTGCAGGTTACAAATTCAGTGACAGATAATGGAAATGAATGTGCTAAGCAGTAATGGTCTCTGACAGGTAAAAGAAAATTCAGCAAAGATGAGATATGCTGAATTTCTGGCAAAGCTCAGAACCAACTAGTTCTGGTTGGTTTATAAACCTATGTTAAGTGTCATTCTGCAATTTGCATTTCCAGAATAAGATAAAATAATTGTGAACAAAAGGGGATAAGAAAGTAAGACAAACTAAAAAGTAACATTTTGACTAGAGCTTGAGATAAAATGCTGATCATATAAAGCTGTGACACTTCTCTTGTTTACTTGTATACAATTGCATCAATATGTTAAACATACTGGAATATATGGGCTATATACAAGCTATATAAGGTTATATTAAGGAAAAAAAAAGAATGAAAATCATTTGAATTTTCTTTAATGTCCAGAGGTAAAAAGAGAGTTCTCATATCATTGTTCAGAAGATGAGAAATGTACCAGCTTAAAGAGACTTTGTGTGAAGTAACCACCCCATCTCTGTCCTTCTATTGAAATAATAGGTATTTAAAAAAAAAAAAAAAAAAAAACAGAACAAAACTTTCATTCTGAGGGCTCGTTTAAGGGTTCATAGAACATTCTCATTTATTTCAGACCCAGTTCTTCAAAAGAGCCTAAGGGATTGAGAGACCCACTTTCAAAAGTATTTTGGTTGAAGGTGGCTTTATAGTCTCCTAATCACTGTGCAAATTGCAATTTTAAACGTCCTTTTCAAAGGAACCTGGAAAATGCTGTTTAGTGGGGCCTTCTCATCCCTGTCTAGTTAGTGTAAAAAGGATAAAATATAAATCACTAGTGAGGAGCTGCTGAGAAATGCCCTATAAAATAGAAATTGTCATTTTAATAAATGCGTTATTTTGTTACGCAAAGAACTACCTACTCCTTCCATTCCCCTTCCCCAAGACTATCTTATAGGTATAACAATCTACCTCTGTTCTTGTTATATTTGCAGTCTTTTTTATTCTAATCTGGAACAAAATGTTTTGATGATTTTATTCATAAGGAAACCTAGACTGGTCTTCCATTCAAGTCTTTAACAATTATGCTACTTACCGTTAGTCATATAGATCCAAATAGTATAGATTGAAGTACTCTACACTCAGTACACCACACAGCAGAAATAACAGGTACTTTGAAGGTGTGGCAAGACACAGGCTCAGTCAGATGACATAAAACATCCCATGGAAAGTATCTAAAGACAGCTCTTAGCGTGTAGAAAATGAGATGCAAACATGAAGACCCCCGGGATTCTTCACCTCTATCTCCTACCACTGTCCATAGAACAAGTACCACCTGCTTCTTATCATTGTCCTTCTCATTCTTGCTGCAAAACCATATATTTTGCAGCATGTCATTACATGGTAGGGTGTTAGATACAACCATTAATCGAGTTCTTTTGTACTAGGAAACTGTTAATGACAAAAAATAGTAGAGATAGTTTAAGTTTTTGCTTGTTTTATTTTAAAATAATTCATTTAGTATACAAACATGTCTCTTCAGTCAAAATGATGCATGTCTCCAAACTTTCCGTAGTAGAAAGTATATGATGGCAAATGTCATGGCAACAAGACTCTGATCAACAGTAGTGGTCAGTACTTGCTTCTGTCATGAATGTACTGTGTCCGGAAATGCCTCCTATTTTTTATAACTATAAATAATGTATTCAATTTGACATAGGTGAGGAGAAGAGATTACCAAAGTTTTATTTTTCCCCATCTATCCTCATTAATGAAGTGTAGAACTGGCAAAAATGAGTACGCCCTTTTGTTCCTCAGCAGTGTCTTTCACTAGACAATAAAAAGAATGCCAACTGTGAACCTTTTTCTTGAAAAATAAATAAATAAGTTCAAAAAGTACAGTAAAAAAAGCTGTGTAGCTGTGTGCTACACAGTTGGCAAGCTGTGTAGTGCAAAAAAAAAAAAAAAAAAAGTACAGGAAGGAAAGGAAAGGAATTTTCTGAAAATAAGATAAACAGCAAAAAGAACTTTGTAGCTTTCCAGCTCTGCCTACGACCTTTTACCTGTGATAACAAGAGTGAATCGAAATACAGACCTTTTCATATTTCCAAATGTATAACTGCATCTTACCAAAACAACTGGTAGCTCTTACTGTCTGTGGTGAAAACTGGCATTAACATCTTGCTTCATTTCTTTCCAGATTGAATTTCCATTAATAGAAACATATAAGAATAGTCATGTATGCAGTCAACGCCTCTTACTTTCTCTGGTCACTAAAAAGGTGCCTCTTATTTCCCAAGTGTTTCAAAGAAGTCTTGGCATCATGGTGTTACTCTCTGAATATGTACTTAACCTCTAATATAGTATAAGGATAAACACAGCCACAGTTTTTATTGCTACAAATTCCTTTATGCAGGTCTTTGGGACCATTGAAATTGTTGGCTGTAACAATTTTTGGTCCAGGCCCATGAAGAAGCCTAAATTGTTAGTATAAGGGGAAAAAAAAAGAAATGGGACCAAGTCTGTTGTCAAGGATACTGGAAGATTGTTACAGGGCAATTGGAAAAAGTCAGCAGAATGTAATGGTGATGGTAATGTAGATGTGAAACGATTCACTTAATATTAAGAAATGTATGAAAAGGAGAAGACAGGATTAGAGTCTGAATCACATTTGTTAATAGTACATGTCGTGTTTTCCTTTGTGAATGTTGATTTGGTAGAATTTGCCCTGAAGGCTGTTTGCAGAAGTCTTGCAACTAGAATCCTTAAAAATCCCTTGCATAAACACCACGTTTAACAAGGGCTTTGGGCTTTGTTGTTTACAACCTCTTGGTTAATCTGTCATTTATGTTCTTTGTTTTGAATTATGATTTACACTTCATTTTTTCTTTTGAAACCTTAAAGGTGCTGTTTGGATGTCAATTTAATAAGCATTGTTACAGCAGCTTTCATAACAAAAAGGTACATAACAAAAAGTCAGGAAAGGAACCAGTAAGTTAACTGTGTCAGGATAGATATATAAAGACAGACAGTTGAGGTGATTAGAAGGGGAAACTGAGGAAAGAACGGATTATACAAGTGTCCTGTAGGATCTTTTTATTAAAAAATATCTGCTAGTAAATAAATTATACCAATTGTGTTAGCTTTGCTGTATGATGATATTTTACAACTTTCTCCTTAAGTTTAAGGGAATTTTTTTCCTGTGAATTATAAGCCAGTGTGCTGGCTTTATGCAAATTCACCAGTGATATTTGGATAACGGTGGAGAAATAAAAGAAATCGTTATGCTGAAATAACGTAGAAAATGCAGGAAACCATAAAATTCCAGGAAAAAAAAAAAGGAAAAAAAATAGATGGCAAGCTGGGTATATTTAATGCTTTGACAAGACTTGGGACTCAGTTTAGCTTAACAAGAATGTTGTTTTAATCAATGAAATTTAACAGCTTTGCAAACATTCATTGCACTTGTGTGTGTGAATTTTCAAGAATGCAATTTTTTGTTTCACCTACACCATTTGAATGACCATTGACTTGAAAATGATTACAACTTTTGAGAAGAGGAATTACTACTTTGGATATTTTTTGGATTTTTGATTTAAAGGCCTGTATTTTCCATCTGTGAGGTGTGCATTTTTACCTATTGTTGGTGATTGAGTTGAAGAGTTTTTCTTTGCAAAATGTCAGCCATGTGCAATCAATAAATATGACTTTAGTGCTGATAAAATGCCAAACTTCAATAGTAGCCTTCCTTACTCGAAAGATTAGCTATATGAACAAATACGACCTTTGGTTCTGTGTTTTTTTATCTTTGTTACAGACAATATTTTAGCACAGTTGAATCTACTCCTGCAGCTGAAAATGTAGAAAAGCCAAGTACTGATTATATTTGTTCATTAGCCTTTGGTGCATCCAGACTCTAAAAATCACTCAACAGAAGATGGTATTTGCTTAGGCAGCTTGGTAGCTAAGCTCATTCAGCTGCTCATTAAGGATTTAGTCTTTTCATTCATCTTGTGTAATGGGGTTTCAGCAAGAGAAGGGGTCACTTAGGTGTTAGATGGGTGATCCCTGTAGCTAATGACCAGAATAAGATGATGGATGAGGCCAGTGTTCCAGAAATGGATTCAGCTCAGGGCTATTAAAAATTTTCGTTGGGGGTTTTCCCAAAAGGCTATGCCTGGCACAGACAGAGAGATGCAAAATGTAAGAGAAGCTAACGCTTTCATTTGTGAACCTGAGGGTGGAAGAAAAAAAAATCCTTATTATTATTTAATAATAATGTCATATTTTCATATTTTGTATTACATTATTTGTGACATATAACAGCATGTTATATTTCATTTCTCATTTCTGTTTATTTCTCAGCACCAGTCCAGTTTCTTTCTTGAGTGCAAATATTTAAGACTTAATGTTATGATTTTGCATAAGTAAGTCTTTTGTTTCAAGCGATACTAAAGCCCAAAGCATAAAGAAACTAAATTTCATAGTATTATGAGACAATTTAGTCTCATAGTCATGTATGAAAAGTAATATTTTTGTAGTTATTCTGACTTGATCAGTGCTTAGCAAGAGGCTAAAGCTGTTTTGTTTTATTTTGTTTTGCTGTGAAAATGACAAATGCTGATCTTAAGCAAAATTGTGACTCTTCTAAATGGGAATATATCTAGTAATGGTTCTGGTTTCCCTTTGTTTATCAGTTACCCAATGAAAAGAACAAAACAGATCTATCTAGTTTGAAGCAGCATGTCATAAATACTCAGGTGGTCATTGATAACAAAATAATATAAAGATTAATAGGGGAGAGCAGCCAAGTTCGGTCACCTGTAAATCTAGTGATGTCTTTGGTTTACGGGCAAAATCTTCATTTTGAGTCATAAGCTCAAATTTGTGCTCTCACCTAATAAATCCTATAGAGTGCTGGTAATTCCACCTCTCTTTGAAGAAAGAATAAGAAAAATATATCTAAAAACCAGTATTTTCATGTTCTTTTAATTTTGAAATGAAGGAGAGGCAACATGGAGCCAAATCCTGGTGCTGGTAACAGAGGATGCAACTTTTGAAGGTCTAGAGTTGTTTCAGTTGTCAATCATGACCAAGAAAGGGTCCTTATAAGGGCAGTAAGAAGTTTGCTGACACTGTGTTGAAGGGTTTTCAGTGCATAGTCTGCAAGGCAAAACCTCGACTGAAGCTTCATTTCCTTTTAACAGTGCCCACAAAAGTGAGATGTCAACAGTTCTATTGCCTTTGGTTCTTAGTCCTGCTCCCTTCATCTTGCTTTGCTTCTCTTTCTTGAAACTCTTCATCTTTTTTTTTTCCTGCTTATTTCTTTTTTATTCTTCAACTTTTTTTTTTCTTCTTTCCCTTTGCTTTTCATAATTTCTGCTCCAACCATGCTTGTTTTACCTGATTTATTTCCACATAGATCTTGTGTTCTTGGAAATCCAGAAAGAAGGGAACTGTCATGTGAATTTCAAAGATTGTGCTCTCTAGAACTTAAAGCTTTGATCTAATATTTATTCTTTAATAATTTTTTTTTCCTCTCATAGGGATCACACTTTATAGCCAGCCCTATGGCGGAACTTTCCTGGATGAGGACAAAATGTGAGCAAACTCCTAAAATAAGCAAAGAGCTGCAGTGGACAGGCAGTTCAAACTGTGCCTACAATAAGCAGATATGTTGCATGCAATAGATATAGGAACTTGAGAGGTGCAGTTGGGTTACAGTCATGAAATATTTTCTGCAGTATGTTGTTTATATATCAAATCTACTGTTTGTGTCAGATATGCTTATATGTTTTTGTAGAGAAGAATACGTATCCTGTCCTTGAGAAAGTATTTGTGAGCAGGTCATTCTCAAGTGCATTAATTGTTGGAAATGATGGACATGTTTCTAAATTTTAACTTGCTGCAAAGTGGGAAACACTGGAAAAAGTGCTACTTTACTATTCTCACTTTGAAATACAGATTGTGTTCCATAATTAATATATAGTCTTGTAAATTAAGATATCATCTTGTTACAGTTCTCTAATGAGATGCCGAGAGTGTACAAATGTGGTGCTGGCATGCAAGATTGAGGTCCAAATGTCTGTTCTTTTCCTCAGGCAAGACCTATATTGCAGAAACTGATAATAATTACATATTTTGTGTATTTTAATGTAATAGTTTTTCTGGTAAGGAGTTGGATTTGAACATGTTTGTTTTCCTTTGTTCCTTTTTTGCACCACTTGGCTTTTGCCTCTAGAATGGAGAATGTTCGTCAGTGTGGTGTAGCACTGTGTATCATGTTGGGCTTTTCCATCCTTACTGCATCCATTGGAAGTGCAATAGTGAAAGACAGAGTATCTGGCGCAAAACGCCTGCAGCACATCACAGGCCTTGGATACAAAACTTACTGGCTTGCAAACTTCTTCTGTGATATGGTATGTACCATGGATGGCAGCATGTGTCTAGATGTGACCTCTTGAATGGTTTGGTGCAACTTAGCCAAAGGAGCATGGTCACAGTGAATACTGAAGTAGGATTTTGAATTTTGAATCCCAAGAAATTGTTCTCCATTCAGACTTATAAGGAAGGGTACCGAAATAAGACTTTCTGGCTGGTTGTCAGTTACAGATTTTTTCATCAGCTGTATAAACAGATGATCCAAAGAAATCCCATATCACTTGGATTCCATTAAATTCTAATCTCTTTTGCAAAGGTGATTTTTTTTTAAAGTCAATCTATGGAATTTCTCTAATATATACAAAAGGTGCATGTATATGTCTCTTTTCGAAAGACTTCTGCATAATTCCTTTGTGATGAGGCTTGCTGTATCAGTGTGTTTGCAAGAAAATTGAGTTAGACTGTCCACTTCTGGGAAAGGTACAAAGCTCCTATTCATAGAGAACTCAGGCTTTCCGTGCTGGAAACTTAATAACTGTTTTTAGTAGTAGGAACTCTTCAAGAAAATGGCACTTTAGCTTGAGAGTCTGCTGTCAGAGGCAGTAGAGAAAAAGTGGAATCAACTGGTTATTCCAAAGATTTCAGGCTACAGGGGAGGGACATAAATCTTCTGCACTTTGCTTGCAATGCAAAGGACAGCGATTTTCACACCACTCTGTTCTCATTCAAACTATTCTAAATCTGAAACATTAGAGCTTCAGCCATCCATGCTTGAAAATCAGGACTTTTACACTTGAGGAAGCTTGAAGTAAGAGAACATTTATCCAGAAATTATTTACCTAGGCAGTCAAACTTGTATTCCCTTTGCTACTATTCCAGGAAGCTTTGGTAAGAACCTGGTCCCTCATCATTCAGCTCTTCTTTACGCAGCAAAGTCAGCTCCTTGTTATTTTTTGTTAATCTCTTCCTTTGAAAATGTTCTCACAAATTCAGCATCATACTGTGTGATCAATCATGATCTGAGAAAGAACAGACTTTAAATGCTAGTTGTGCTCAGGATCATTTAGGGACTTTGAACACATGAATATAGAAAATGTTAAATTTTAAATCCCTCTGCATATGAAGTGTTACAGGTTGTGTCTGGTGTTATTTATAATGTAATCTTTACTAGACCGAAAATGTATTAGATTTATGAACCAACTGTCCTAGGAATCTGGCTGTTCTTGGTGTATTTATGCATGTGACTAGTGTTCATTACTATGTTCCTCAAAAGAAAAATGTATAAATTTCATGACAGATAGAGTTATTTTCTGTAGATTAATCTTGTGTCACTGCAGGAGCAAAATTAGGATTTTTATGTTGGCATTTCTACTTTGTGCATTCCAAACTTTTATAACTTACTGCTCATTTGGGTTAGCTCTTTAACAGCATTTAATTCTAAAACTTAGAAAAAAAAGTCCCATGTCTGTTGAAACATATCAGGACTTAGTGTATGTTTTTCAAAAGCTCCAGAAAGTTGAAATCTAGATCTGTGAAATAAGGTAGCCCATGAACAAGGTCACAATATTACATTTGTCTCTATGTTTTGCTCCATTGTACTTTTCTTAAATCTTTAAAAACAAACATATTGGCAAAGATGCAATGCCCTCTGTGTTAAGTCTGAGGTTTGCATTGCACTTCACTATGAAAGTGAGTAATTTTAACAATTAGGACATTGGTTTTTATACTCTGAATATTTAGACAGACCTTGGTTAATAGTCATTTGTTACTTTTATCGCAGTTGCATCCCAATCTTGGCTATGTTAGAAGGTTAGATGTGGCACTGCATTCAGAAAGGGAAGCAGTCACTGCCCTATAGAGAGAGCTCAGTTTTAATGCACAGAGCAGTTAGAGTGAAGGGAGCAGAAAACAGATCTTGCCCATCTTTCACCTCCTGTTAGCAGGACCCATCTCTCTGGAATGCTTGGATATGAACCCCTTCTACCAATTTCATTCCCAGCTAATAAGTACTTTAATAACATTATATCAGGAGCCTATTACCAAATGTTTATTAAATGTTGCCTAGTGGCTATGTCTCTTCTAAATACTTCGTCTGTTCCTACTAGAAGCTGTCATTTACTTCATCTGTATGCACTGTCTTTCATTAAAGTCTCTTTAGAAATTGTATCCTTGATAGTCTCCTATGACTGAAGAATCACCTATGACTACGAATCAAGGAAACTGCTGCTCCTGGTTCCTAACCTCTGTATTCACAGTGTAGTTTCAGGCTTTGAGTGAGAGTCGCATCTGAATCCTTTAGCTGGGAGAATTAGCTTGTTAAACAGATGTATTGGAAAAGTTAATAGAAATGAAAGTCAGAAAGATGCATTGTTTTTAAATTTGTCGGGTTCATTTACACATGTAAACCTATGTGTAAGGGGGACAGTTTCACAGCCACTGTGAACTCTGCAGTATCAGTGATCCTCTGCCTAGCTTCAGGGTAATTATACTGCAAATCTGGAAATGTTAAGTTGTAAAGTCCTTCTATGCTAATTGAGTAAGACCAATAAGGAAAGTTCACCTGCTAAGTGCCCATTTTCCTTGTGTTTCTAGCTGTTCTACATGGTTCCAGTTGCCCTGTGTGTTGGTGTGATTACTGCCTTCCAGCTATCGGCCTTCACTTTCCGAGAAAACTTGGCAGCCACTGTTCTCCTGCTGACACTCTTTGGGTATGTGACTGGGAATGTTACTATGGCATTACGGCTTGTAAGAAACAAGCAAAAAATCTTTAGGCTTGGTTTGCACCTGCTGCTGGATGTGTGATTTTCTGTCGTTGGAAATGGTTATGTTTCCACAAAGGATGGTGAGAAAACAAGTTGAAACCTGAGGTTGAAAGCTCCACAGCAACAGGGAGCCTTATACACAAAATACTGGAAGTGTCTGAAGGAAACAGACAGCTAGTATAACAATCATTTGCTGTCAGAAATTGATTGTATGTTACCGTCTGCTAAGGTGGTAAAATAATAGCAATCAGGCCAGGATTTCAGTGGTCAGCTGTGGAGAGTATCATAAAGAATTGCCATCCACTTCTTATGTACCATCTTACCTCTTTCTGCAAATCTTAGTTCGAAGAGCTTCAGGAACTTGTATGTCCAGTAAGAAGACTGGCCAACCTGGAGCTCTGGACTGGTTGAAGAATTGACTTAGCTGATATTGTGACATTGGAAAAGTTCTTTCATCTCACCTTCTCACAAGTTTTATGTGACAAAAAGTTATTAAAAAAAAACTTGTTAAAAAGAGAGCTAGTTTGTCTATATAATGAGTGTACTCTGTGCTCAATCTAACTAATGATCTTACTGTATGCAGTCCCCGGTGATGTGTGAAATGCTGAAGAGGAATAATTAACGGATAAGCATTTTGAAGAATTCTCTTCCCTATCTCAAGCAACTAACAGTTGCTGTCTTCGTAGTTGGGATTGCGTATCCTCAGAGGCAGGCGCTTGGATAATGAAACACAACTGTGCTCATTAGGGAATCACAGGGAAAGAGAATAGAAAGGGACTTTCTGTAAGGTCAGGGCATGTGCCATCCAAGGAATAATCTTGGATGAATGATGTAAAAACCTGTTTATATCTTGAAATTGTTGTCAAGATTTCATGGCTCCAGTGACTCTCTTTGGAGAGCTGTTTCAGAATTGCCAATATCTGGGTGTATTCTGCTAATTTCTAGCCTTCGTTTGTTTGGAGCCATGCCTTATATGCCACTAAACATCTTTGGTGGGGTCATGCAACAGGTCTCAAGGACAATCTGTACGTAAACTTCAGAGGTGCCATTCTTCCTCTTTCACCCACTGCTCATCCTAACTAAATATTAAATGTGATGAAGCCTGTTATGGTCATTTCATCTTTCTCGATTACTGTGCATTTTTTATTTCTCACTTAACAGCATTCCATAATGCATTTTTTTTCTCTTAAAATTGCATTTTTCTCTTTGGAGTATACTTGTGTGACTTCTGTGATATAGACTAAAGGCAGAAATGGCCCAAATATATCAAAAAAGTTAAACAATATGGCAGAAGGGCATATGCTTGAAGGAATACTCAACAAGTTCCTAGTGTACTACTTCAAAGCAGATTTACTAGTGCTTCAAAAGTATTAGAGTCTCATAATTAGACTGCATTTATTTTCCTTTTAGTAGTAGCAGAAGTGTTTTATAATGCTGTATTTTAAGCACTTTTGTCTAATATGCTGTATCTCTGATCTTCCCAAAATAACAAATTATGGCTAGAGTTGAAGCTGACTTTTGCAGTCAGGAAGGAATGGTTAAGAAAGGGACATACGCTTGGCTGGCAGATACTTTCAAATCTGTGCTTCAACATCATATAACTTTAGTGCCGTATATTTGGAAAAATCTTACCCTCTCCTTAGCAGCTGTAAGTGAACAACTTAAATTTTCCTTTCGTTTATATTGGAGTAACATCACTTTAAATCATGTGTCTCTCCTCAGCTCTGTTTCTAAGGTGGGCTTATCCTGTATTTACACTGTTGTAATTCAGAGCAAAATTTAGAGCTGTGATTTCAACATGTGCAAGAGGGGAAGAAAGTTGGTGTGATTCAGACTGTCACTAGGATGCTAAAAAATACCTTGAATACTCTTAAAATCTTCCTTTGAGACCCTAGCCAAGTCATGCAATCTTTATGTTGTTGTAAACTCTGGGTAACATCAATATTACTTCACAGCAGGTTTGGAAAGTTTGTTTCCTAAGGTTTTGATGTTCTCAGATGAAAATATTTGTTTATCCAGTACAAAACACTGAGCTGAAAAAGGACTTTTATGGTTCATAGGCTAAACTACTATTTAAAGCACTGAAGTCACAGATTTTTGATTAGTTTCTCTGACATTGGTAATTATTATAATAATAATGTATAGATATATCAGTAGTATGAAAAAAAAATACTACTCATATTTATGGCCATGCATTAGGGAGTGCTGACTCCTGTGCTCCTTGAAGTCTATATGCTGTTGGTTTTTCTGCTAGGGTGTCTGGCACTAATGGGCAGCTAATTTCCTTCATATGGCACTGCACACTCATCTCATTTTTCTGGGGTATATTTTAGCCCAGATACTATCTAACTGTTCTTGATAGAAAATAATGGCTTTCCATTTTGGATGGGCATCAACTGATATGACTGAGCTCAGGATTCCTTCCCTATTCCTTTAAACATTTGCACAGAAGATGGTGTAACTAGGAACCTCTTGTCCTGTTGCTGTTGTGCTCTGTGGCAACTCTGGACTCATTTTGTATGACAAACACTCCACTAACTGGTAATCTGCTGTGATAATTTATAATGCTTAAATAAATTTCAGATGACATAATTCAGTTCTCAGTTCAGTTCTCAGAGCTGCCAGTTTGCTGGCAGTGTTTATACCAGTTCAATGATTTATGGTTGCAACAAATGATTGCTCAGCAACTATGGTTTATTTTTCAAATATTTGATTTTAACCTTAACTATATCTCTGGGCAAGAGGATTGTTGCAAGTTGCATGGTTTTGTGATTATGTAGAAATAAGGGTTGTGAGCTTGCTGGAAGAGTGAAAGCAAAAATATGCAGCTCATAAAAATGGAATGTGTCTGCTGATTATAGTATAGTTCATATGTATGCATCTATAGAAAAATAAGGTAAGCTGGTCACAAAAATATATTGGAAATTTGCTCACCCTTCTCGGTGGAAATGCTCTCATACCTTAGAAATAGGGAGTATTCTTTGTTCTTTCTATTTTTACATTACATTATATTATATTTCTTTTTTTTTTTTTTTGATTGGTTGTTTCTTTTTCTCTTTTGGAAGCTAAAACTTATTTTTTTGTGAAAAGGCTTTGTTTTGTTTTGTGTTTTTTTAAACTTGTTTCAGATATGCAACTCTACCGTGGATGTATCTTGTATCCAGATTCTTCTCAAGTTCAGATATAGCTTTTATTTCTTACATCTCCTTAAATTTTGTGTTTGGCCTTTGCACGATGCTGGTGACTCTCTTACCTCGTTTGTTAGCTGTAATTTCTAAAGTGCAGGTCAGTATAAACTTTAGCTTTATGTTTAGTTCAGACGTATATATGCACACACATGTGTATATGTACATACATATACATACATATATGCATATATACATCTGTGCATATATATATGTACACACACAAACTAGACTTTTTCCAAATAAAGAACACATGTAATTTAAACATGTTTGATTTTTCTGTGCCTGTGTATAATGTACTGCTTGCTACTATGTTTGTTTGCAATTCTAATTTGTTTGTAGAAGAAAAAGAAAAAAACATTTTTAAAAAAAGGTGAATCCTAATAGTGGAAAAGCAGCTTTAATTGAAACTTTGACACTTTTCCAGACCATTAAATTGTAATTTGTACATAATGGGAGCTGTTCTGGTCCAATGAATAGATTATATGCATTGTGAAATGTGTTTGAAAAATATTGACATAAGAGATAAGCTGCTTATTCTTATTATCTGTGATGCCTTGTATGAATAGTAAATGTGCATTCTCACTCCATGTAATTATTCATAATGGTAATTAAGCAAGCTGATGGAAAAGGAGGGATCCAGAACATGTATGTTTGTGTATCTATGAATATGCAACATGAGGAAAAAAAAAAAAAAAAAAAAAAAGATGTCTCAAAACCAAATCTAGGATATGTGCCACTCAGCTTTGGAAGCAGATTTGATGCTGAGTAGGGTTAAGATTGTAATTTGAAGTGGCTGGCATTAAATACTAAAATTTTAACACCAGAAAATTAAATACTTGGCCACATCATTCTATATTGCTTCTGTATTGCAGATCAGCTTCCATGGTAGAGAACAACGTAATTTCTGTCAGATACCAATTTATTGGTTAGCGGGGGAATAGTGTAGTTCTTCAGCATTGCCTAGTATGGTGGCAGTATTCCTGGTTCTGTGACAGGGAACAGACACAAGGCCACACACAGGTGTTGTGGTTACATCTACTCTACTACCAAATCCTAAATATAAAACTGCTTATATGGTTTTATTTTTCTTTACTTCCCCCTCTAGCACGATGTTTTATAAAATAACTATGCTGGAAACCCATACTAGCATTTTATGTATTAGATGTCATTGTTGTTTAGTAGCTGAAATAAATTGGATGTCTGTTATGTCTGTGAGCCTCAGTTAAAATTAGGATCCTATGTCTTTAGGCATTCTAAAAATAAATATTTTTTAATTGCTGTAAAAATACAGTAAGGAATGATCCCCGTCCCAAAACTGATGACCATGTGCATTGTTGAAATCAGTGAGCTTAAATAGAGTTCACCTTAAGTAATATTCAAATGAAATTTTAATCTAGATTTATGTGTGCTTAATATACTGTTGGAGGAAACTAATATTTTCCTTCCTTTTTTTTTTTCTTTTTTTTTTTCTTTTTCGTTCACTGAATCTTAATACAGAGTTTTCAGAATGTCTACGAGTCCCTTAAATGGGCATTTATTATATTCCCACAATTCTGCTTAGGGCAAGGGTTGATAGAACTTTCATACAATCAGATCAAGTTTGACCTGACCAGCAGCTTTGGAATAGATTCATACGTGAGCCCATTTGAGATGAACTTCCTCGGATGGATTTTTGTGGAAATGGCCCTTCAAGGAACAGTTCTTCTTCTTTTACGGATTTTTCTTCATTGGGATCTCCTCCAAAAAACAAGGTGTGTAGTATATAATCATTTGTGTTCTCTGATAGTGGACACTTAGTAATTTCTCAAAGTAGGTCATGGAACCACTTGTTCCTTTAATGAGATTGTGTTACATGTTATGTACCTTTCTTGGTCATGTATCCATAGAAAGAACATTTCAAAAGATGGGTTGGGAGGAAGAAAGGGAAATTATTTAATTAACTTTTAAGCTGTGCAATTTGGCTTTAGTTTAACTTCAGTGGTTTCATCTAAAAGGAAACATTTCTAGTGTAATTATGTTTTAGATTTTACATTTTTAGATATTTTTTCGTTTCTGACCCCAAAAGATGGTAGTGTCCTGGAAAGCTTTCCTTCACACCACTTTTTTTTTTTTTTTTTTTTTTTTTTTTTTTTTTTTTTTTCTCCAGTGTAGTCAGGCTACTAACTTATCTAAACTTAATTAACAGTGTAGTCTGCCTCACTTTTGGCACTATTTTTCCCCTGGAGGGTATTTACCGATGGCCTGCTCACGAATGGGCACTGCTTGTCAAGTCACCCTAAATAAGCGACTGAATCAAACCCTGTGGGTCTTCTGTTTCCTCCAAGAACTTGCTGCAAGTTGTATGGAGATTGAGCTTTGTGCTTTCAGCTTTTCTAGCAGCTTTTCTTTCAGCTAGTGCTTTCCTTTCAGCTTTTCATGGCATCAGGGCTTTAGATATACTTTCATGCTGAAAATGGTCCAGAGTGTTTTTCTACTTTGATATCTATGTAACGTATATTGCAAAAGAAAGTAGTGATTGTTTCTTGAGAAGACTTTATTATTGGCTTATTTCAGTTCATTCAAGTGTTATGTTTGCTTCCAGGTTATTTCATCCAGATGGTTCTGTGTTTCCATGCTTCTATTTTGAAAGAACCTCCCCATTTCATTATTTCATTTCTGACTTAAACTCCACTCCATCAAAAAAAGAATTTAATATTAGCCCATGTCACCATTCATGTTTGCTTTGAAGAGTGTAGTTGTATTTTAGAAAGGGGAGAAAAGAAATATGAATATGGCATATAAAATAGTGGAAATTTCAGAGAAAAAAAATGCTTCCGGTTACTGTTTCTTTTGGATTCTGCTGAGATTTGGTCACTGAACTTTAAGGGATCACAATCAGGGAAACAAAACACAGTTATCCAGAGTACAGCAGTGTCCAATTTGCCATGTGACATTTGTTGTCACCATCTGTCGTAGGGGTCAGTGCTCAGTTAGCACCATGGTCAGCGCCTCAGAAGATACTGATGTAGAAATGGAGCGACAGCGACTCTTTGGTGGAAGAACGGCTAATGACCTCCTGCTGCTGTACAACCTCAGGAAGTGCTACGGAGGTTTCAATAAGAAGAATGCAGCTGTGGAGAACATCAGCCTGGGAATACCAAAGGGAGAGGTAAAGAAGTCTTTTTTTCTTTTCAAAAAGAGGTTTGATTTTGAACAATTGTTGAAGCGCATTCAACATATCTGCAATCAAAGCTCTGAAGACAGCAGCTGAACACTTTCAATTGTGGTAATTTTTGAAAATCAATAGCCATACAGAAGGAAAGCTGTGATGATATTTAAGAAGCAACTGCTCAGTGGCCGATAGATTTGTTTTTTGTTTTATGACTGTTTTGGTGTAAGAGGCCTATTTTTTTCTTGGTATTTCTCTTTACCAAGTTAGAGTTTTATGAGCTAACATAAAAAGCAAAATAGGTAGCATGACTGCTTCAGTGCCCAAAGAGAAAGTCAAAAGCATCTAGGTCAGTTACTGTGGACAAAATCCTGAATTTATCCCCAAGGCAAACTTGTATCTGCTGAAATCATTTTTTTTTAAATATATCATTTACTAATATACTATTTGAATAAGGCTAAACCTAACACTGAGTTTTATAATCCCTAGGACGCCAGAGGAGCATTGACTTGATTTTTTTTTTTTTTTTTTTTAATAAAAGTGTAGATTATTTCTGACAAAGCACAGGAATGCAGATTTTTATTTTAAATATATTGATAGGGAAAGGAAGGCTATTTTTTGACCGCTGATAGCAAACTGTAAGAAAAACTAAAACACTAAGGGTTTACATCCAGTTGTAGTTTAGATGTTGGGTAACTGGAGTAACCTCGTGGATGCTACTTCTGATTGAAACCTTTCTATCTGCAAGAAAGTTCATAAAGCAAGTATTAAGACTTGCATTTATTTGATATAGAAAAGGGAATGTACATTTTGTTAATACATATATCTACATGCAGTGTCTTAAAGGTATCAGACAGGAAATAAGAAAGGGAAAAAAACATTGGAGGATCAATATTGCTTATATTTCCTTCAGAGCAGCAAACAAATAGCAGTCCCTCACTTTTGTTCCCCTTCTTGTTCCTGGTTAGTGCTTTGGACTCCTGGGAACAAATGGAGCCGGGAAAAGCACAACATTTAAGATGCTGACTGGAGACATCATCCCATCTGCAGGGCGTGCTGTTATCAGGACTCCTACAGGGTAAATAACACAAGGTTTGATTGGAATAGTGCTGACAGATAATGCCAAGGAACAAGGATCAGCATGCCTCGAGTCCTTATATTATGCTCTAAGAACTTTTTTTGTTGCCTTTAAAATGTATATGATGCTATTATTTGGGGTGGAGTGTGGGTGTGGGGGGTCAGAGAAGGGGGAAGGGACAAAACTTTTTAAAGGTTGCTGATTGGGTTAAGCAATTTAGCACTGTTTAATCCTGTGTGACAGCTTAGTTGAGAACAAAGCCATTAGGTAGAAAAAGACCAGGATATATATAGTCTTAATAGGCTTTCTTATTAAATCTAAAAAATTATCATATTAATCTTCCTAGCAATATTGAAGATGAAGTGAAGTTATTTTTGAGGCAAATCAAAGTAAATATGTACATGTACATGCACCCCCCGCAATGTGTACACAACTGTCAACTCCCCAGATGCCTCTCAAAAATTGTTAAACATTTGTAAGGACTCACTAAAGTGATTTTCCTTTGGAAATGTGATCCTTAAGAGAATAAGATGAGATGTAAGCTATATGGCTCTGCAGACACTTAGATACTTGATTTCATTTACGGCTGAAGGTCATTTGCTCCAAACTTAACTGAAATTCAGTGTTATACGGCCACATATGACAAATACACGTGCATTTATGGATTTTGTATAGTTTCATCTGTACAACATGGCACCATTCTTTGTTGGGAATCTACTGGAGGCCTACAGAGCAAATGATCTGATCTGGTCAGATAGTTCCCAGTACTTTAATATCTACATGAAAGCAAGTCTGCTTACAGAGTTTTAAAAATGAGTCCTTGCAATTACATTATGCTTGCCAAATACATGAATTATTTTATCAGAGCTCCTTAAAATAACTATTCCAAAAAAAGTGCTCTATTTCTTTTTCTTAGATATATTGGTAGTGTACTTGTGGCTAAACATATTTTTTTTTCTCAGGTCAAATTTAATTTGCTATTCGTATTCCACAATAGGTTTGAGTATGCAGTAATATCTAATTCTGTTTAAATAATGACATAATATTTATAGCGTTTGTAGTAGGTAGGTGCTATCCACTTTCCTTGCACACAGTGTGTGCTACTTTTATTTCCCTCATCTATAATATATTTTATAAACAAAATATGAAAGCACAGTTTGAGGTGCATATAGTGACACATGAGTAAAGAAATGTGACAACACAGCTAGGAGAACAGATGGGCACCCTAGAGTGTTCAAAATATCCTTGACAACGTTAGCTATCATTCTGTATTATGGTGTCAATCTAGGTTACAGGTTTAAAGTTTCCTGAGAGGCTTAAGATATAAGCATATAAGTGAATACTGAATTCATACTTCTGTGTTCTCAAAACTTGTTGCTGATCTGCTTGAACACTCTAATGGCTGCATTCTCAAATAGGAGCTGCTATTGAAGAGTAACTAAGCTTGGGAAAATGAGCAACCTTAAAGCAAGAAGAGGTCTGGGTCTTCTTAGACTTTGTTGATTTTTTTTTTTTTTTTTTTTTTTTTTTCCCATCTTGGCCACTGCTTCTAAGTAATAAGCTTCAGAACAGAGCAGTAAAACTAACATAAGGATTTATAGTGCTCCAGGAGCACAGCTTGCCAATAGAGGCAAAATTCTTCCACTTCCCAGTGGAATTATTTGCATAAATACACCATAAGCCTGGAGATCCCTTCTACAGTTGAACTGCTATTAAAAATACCCATCCAAGGTAGAATAACATTTTTTGAATGTAATTGATTTGTAAACTCAATGCAAAAAAGATGGTGGTTATGATCTGCGCACCACTTCAATGAAGACATTTTGTAAGATAGTGAAAGATATGAAGATGCTTGAGGCTGAAAGGATTGGACATTACATGCATTTTGTTCTATTCTAGGTGTTGCTATTTTCTTTTTTACCAGTTGTGAGATTTTTACTACTTAAGAGGACATGAGCAAAGAGAAATATTAAGATCCCAAACAATGAAATGAAAAAATATTTTTTAAAAAATTGTCTTGAACACCTCTCAGTTTTAGATGTCTCCAAAACAAAACTTGTTTGTTACAGTTTTAATGAACAATTGTTAAAATGAAATGACTGTGACTGAATCTTAGGACATGTAATTCAGTATTTAGAAGCAAAAGGGAGGGGAAAAAAAAAAAAAAAAAAGGAAGTCCACAAAGTCAAAGAACTGTTTCCATTCCTCTAGTTTGCTGGACAGTGCTATAAGGCTTCTGAGGAATACATAAGTGCGTATGTTCACTACAGAACTTGTTTTTGTTTATTGATATGTACCTAGACCTTGATGGGAGACATAAATGGAGGAAGGGGGCTAGAATGGCAAGAAGTCTTCTCCTTTTCTCATTCTAGAAGTGTGCACAAAGGGCAAATATTCCTGGTGCACAAAAAAATGAGGAGAAAGATCATGAAACTGTTGCTGGTCACAGATGCAGACAGCTTGGTAGTTTGCAGATCTAGACTTCTTTCATTTGAAGCCTATGCCATGAAACAGCCTCCTTAGAGAGACCTCTTATAGCAATTCTTGATTAATTTGGGAAGCAGGTTAGATGTGGATCCCATCTGTATTAAGTTTGATCGGAAACAACACAACTTCTTGTTTATTTTATTGATTAAATGATAATGATCTCATAATAAGTAACTTATTCTTAAGAAACTTAGAGAAAACTGGGACTACTCTTATGAAAAATAAAATAAAGCTTAGCACAATGCATAAAAGCTAGATATTATATAATGTTTTCCAGTATTATTTGTGTTCAGTTAGATGGGGCATTACTAGTGCAAAATAAGAATGCTTATTAAGTGCTAGAAACAAATTTAATTCTTCATATCAGATTCTCTTGGCATTCTCTTTTGGGGAATAGACGATACTATTTTGGGGAAGGGCAGGACTCTGATCTGTTTTTATTAAGCTTTTTTGTTTTAATACATCACAAATTAATGTTTTAAATGGAGTATAGGCTTAAACTCTAGATATTACTATTTAAATGGGAAATGCATGTTATAGTATCCAAGTTGAGCTGTCTCCCAAAGAACTGCATTTTTAAAATTTTCATATTCTTCTATAGAAAAGGCTTTAGGCAGCTTCTATTCTTTGCAGTCCCATTCTAGTTGTAACTGTGATCTCATAAACATCCTTCAATAAAAGAAATAAAAGGAAAATATCACCAGCCAAAGCCAATCTTGTGAAAATAATAGCAAAATGTTACTTAGGTGATTTTTGTCATGTTTTTATTATTTTATATACCTCCTTAATATTGCCATTGTCAGTGTCTTATCTGTCCAGATGAAACATAAGAATAATTGTCACATAGAGCCTGTGTCTCCATGTTAGGGACATTTGTAACCCCAGTATTAACGACTGCTGAAAGAAGCAGTGCTGAAACAGTACTCTGGAAGATGGGGAAATGAAATTCTGATGATGAAGTACCACCTATTCCTCTAATATAAAGGTCAGAAATGTTAAAAGCACAAAAGGAAAATGGTTAGCAAAACAAGGCTGTAATAAAAGATGCTTATCTGCATTTATAAAGAATAGTGCTCCAAGACCTTAGGAAGCTGGCTTTTGAACAACACCGATGCAAGAGTAGTTCTTAAGCATCAGTACGTATAATAGTTGACTGCATGGTCTGCTTGACATTTCGAGGGCTTTTTGTGTTCCCTCAAGTGCAGCTGTTCCTCTTTGGGGGTACAAATGGGCTCAGATTAGCCTATGCTTCGCTCTGCTGCCATGACTACGTTGACACCAGTTACCTGAGCTGTCTAAATGAAAGCTAGTGGGGAAATCTATTAAGCCTGTATGTGGTTACTTTTTCTATCAAAGAGCTTCTAGTAAGATCCATACTAAATATATAATGCCAAAACCTGACAATTACCAAAGCGGTGGTACAAGAAAGGAGAGCAAAGTTGAATGCAAAGTGAACCTTTGTAAGCCACAAATTACTTCCAGGCAGATGTGTGTGGGCAGATGTGATACATTCTGCTATTTTGCAGCCATTTTTATTGTAGTCTTCTGAGCAGAGTTGATTTTAAGCTCATACTTGGAGCAAAGTCTCACTTGCCATGGGGTGCATGAAGGAAGAAATAGAGTGGGCCTTGCCTTGTTAATAGATTGCCCCACTACGGCCCAAAGCATTTAGCACACTTTCTTATGTGATTAATATTCCATGAAATTACAACTTTCTTACGCAAGAGATCCTCCACTACAGCAACTCTCCATTCAACTTGAATTAAGTCAATCATCTCAATTGTTGGACTGCAAAATCATAGCACCAAAGAACTTCCTTCTAAAGAAGAGTAAGAAACTAAAATATTTCCCTGTAGCTAAAATATGAGCTCTTTTGAAAGTTATGATATTCAACTTGATAAATAATTAAAAGTACAATTTAAATAGCTTTACTTGAAAGGCAGAATAAATTTGCATCAATATAATGGCTGAGATGACTGTTGTTACACTGTATATCAGTATAATTAGTTTAATTATAACTAAGCTATAGTTACATTAATTATAATTTTAACCTTGATTTTTTTATGATGCTAATTGAGCATTAGTATGCAATGAATTGAATGTGCAGTTATAGGCACAATGAAATGTCTAACTACTTTTGCAATTTGTAAATTTATATTTCATTTTGACTGATTAATGCAATTTTTCTCTCTGTTGCAGCCATTTTAAGTACCCTATATATCATTGCTTTTATTTTAACTGCTCTTATGGGGAAAAAAAAGAAAAAAAAAGTGTGCAGCAGAGTCGATAGTGAAACAAATTTTTAAAAACAGCCAAAAGACAGATATTACTGGAAGTACTGAGATGTTGCTAGGAAGTTGATGCCTCTGAATGTCAAGCCACAGCTGCCTATGCTGTGTAGCAAGTAACCACTGTAACAAATAAGGACCAAATCTATTCTCTATATTAACCTGCCTCGCAGAATCCACATGCACAACCACATGAGGAGGAGCAGCAGGTTTTGTCCAAGATTGTTCCAGTGTTTTGTTTTGTTCCCAGTGTCAGCAAAGCCTTTGTCACTGGAGTGACCCTATCATGGCTGGCATCAGATTTCAGGGGCACTGAAATACACAACAGGAATGGCTTGAACAAAAGGTCTTAAAATGATTATAAAGGAACAACTCTGAGTCAAAAACTTATCCCTGCTGAGGTTACTAAGAATACTTTGCCTTACAAGACGCTAATTTTCTTTCTGTAATAATCCAAATCTTTGCAAGATGATCGCTCAGGTATGACAGAAGTCTTATATCCTGGATGGATTTGCACAATGCTTTGCACTAATGTCCCTCTATAAAAAGGAGACTATAAAAAGCATATAGGCAAGGGATGAGATGAAAAATTTTCCATCTTTCAAGTGATAGACTCAGCTACTTTTCTTAAGGATGAGAAACATTCTGTTGACCTTTTCAAATAGTGTAGCAGAAATGTAATATTGCAATTTTAAATTTGTATTTAACATACAAATTTAACATACATGTGAACATGTTCTGTTCATTCCATCAGTTGCGGTTGTTTGGCTTTACAAGAAAAGTTACATGGAGAGACTAAGTGTGACCATGTAGTCTAAAAATCAAGTCTTCACTAGGAAGGAGAAGACTGATCTTCTGTTTTAGTCCAGTGTCTTAACTTGATCAGAACATGTAACCACTTCTGTACATAATTTGAAGGTAGCTTATTACACAGTGTTTTAGTGATGACAGAATGTCCTGTTTTAGTATAAATGCCTCTCTTCCTGCATATGTTTCTTAGCTATTGTACTGGCATTTATTATGTCTGCTGCTCTATTCAATTACTATAGACAAAAAGACTGAGAGCTTGGAATGTATAATTATATATTCTTTCTCTCTCTATTCATAAAACAAATATATTTTTTTCTCCTGTCATTGTTTACATGAATGGCCTAATGAGAAATGCTGGTAACAAAAGGGCAGAAAAGACATCTGTTTTTCTCTAGCTTGAGGGGAAAAAAAATCATATCGTTGCTGTATATTAATTAATCTTTGAGGAAAATGTAATATGTATTTGCACTTTGATTCCAATAACATCATACATTAAGATGTTTGTTAAAGAGAAGGAAGAATATAAACAGTATAATAAATAGCAATCCATTTTTTTTAAGTGAACAACCATGTCATGACAAGATTTTTATTTCCCCCTGGTATAATACCCTAATTAATTGAAAAGGTCATTTTACCTATGCACCTGGAAATTAGATTTGAAAGATTAACTAAATTCCAAGGAAAATTAATTTTCAGAGATGAGTGTAGGTTTCTTTCCTAAGGTATGTACTGTAGTTTCAAATTATATTGTGTTTTTCTTTCATCAGTTCAGTACTCAGCAAAACCTTAGGATCTGGAAAAACGTAACTGAAAGCTTATATCCAGTCTTTTTGATTTAGAAATCTGCTCAGTGATACTGTTGAGGGAAGAGTAGATGTTGTATTACATATGTTTCCTATGGCTTCTTTCTTCTGATCAGATTTTCTATTTTATAACAGATGCACAGTTATCTAGAGATCGAGGAGAAAAATACCTCTATGAATTAATTTGGGAATATATTAGAATTTCTTTACTAATGGGAAGCCTTAAGTGTTCAAGGTCAGCGCTAATGGATATAGTTGCAAAATAAGGACCAAATGAGAAGGAATATTAAACAATCCATTCCGGCTATCCTCTTTCTTTACGGAAGCTGAAGGTCTCTGGATAGAATTTTGTGTGCTTTGTATGAGGCCCCATGCTAACGTGATATCCATACAATTAGCATGCAGTACCCTGAAGTATTTTGTTTTCTAATGCAAACTGAGTAACTGTTGCCTAAGATATTTCTGTCCAAATAAGATGTCAGGTTTTTCTCAGCAATGCTTGCTTATTTTCTATTCTTCTTGGTGTGGACTCAATCCAGATTATATGCATCTCTCCAGTTATTGGCTTCATGCTGAGTAAATGTTGCAGAGATTACGCTGCATATGATTTGTTCTCTTGTGACTTAATTTGGCATTTTACCAAAAGCCCAGACTCATTTCTCTGAAGAGAGCTGCTGCACCAAAAAGAGGTCTTATTACTGTGCCTGAATCTTCCCAGTGTAATAAAATTTATATAGACATCTCTTTCAGTCTTTAGCAGGATGTGTATGTAGTTTTCCACTATATATAACATGTTTCATCATGTTAGAGTTCATAAAAGAAAATATCTACTCCTCCTGACTGATTTTCCAAATAATTTACCTTAATAAATCCATCCCTTATGTCGAAGATGGCTTTAAAAAATCATGTAATTTGATTTATGCGTGACTGGAGAATGAACTGGAGAAAAAAAAATCTCTAAATTTTGTTTAAAAGAACCCCTAAGTGGATATAAATTAATGAGGAAGTGTACTTCTGGCATCTTCTCCCTCCACTCCTCAAGCTTTTTATTTTTTGCTAAGTCTTTTTGTAGAGAACTGTCTACAGGCAGTTAACTTCCTTGGCATTGTCTAAAACCTCAAAGGTGTACTAAAATTTTATATCCTTGTCTTTAAGAGCAGAGGCCCATTCTAATTAGTCTCCATCAAGGTTCATCACATCATGGTAATGTACCTCTTGACAGCATTTAAAATATATTTTGATATTGTTGTTCATCATGTAAAATACAGAATTTATATTTTCTTTTTCTACTTGGACCCTTGACTCTTTTTAAGGAATAGGAGATGCATATTTATATTTATACAAGTGCTGGTATTAGTAGACAATGACATTTCTCTTGTCTAAATTAAGCATATGTTTATTTCTGTTACCCAGAAAGAAACCACATTTTCATGAGGGTGAAATCATTCTGTAATTCAGAACATTTATTTTTTTTTCTTTCAAAGCTCAGAATTTTTTATTATCTTGTTTTTGACAGGTCTTTTCTATAAATTGGCCTCACTTGAATGTTGGTGTAGATGTTGGAATAAATAAGATTATGGGTAATGAGATACCCTTGCAACCAGGTTTGCTTCTTAGTAATGAATGCAATTTCTAGCCAAGCTTTACAACTACAAAGGGATGACCAAAGTCATCTCTGAATCATTTTCTGTTTTTGGGGAAGATTGTTTTTAAAAACATTAGACTTTAACATTCTGTGTTTTGTTTTTCTTTTGCTCTTTAGAGAAGATGTGTGTGTGTGTGTGTGTATCTGTTTGTAGATGCATAAACAGTGACATTTCTTTGTGTTGTGACCGTTTCTTTGATATCGAGTGCAGTGTGTGCAGTGTGGTTTTGAAATGTGTCTGTAGAGCAAAGTCTGTCAAAGACACTGGAGGCCTGGAGGAAAGTCTGGTAAGAAATAATTTTCATAGATCTGGCCTCCTTTAGTGTTGATCTCTTCACCACAATGCACATACCTATAGAAAAATAAAGTCTGGATGGTGATACTAACCTGAGAGAGAAAGGGACAAAAGGCACAGGAAGAATGTTGGCACTACTGTGATAAAAGATGAGAAGATTCAAGCCTTAGAGTTGAAGGTGAATGCCCTGAAAAGACTCCATCTCCAGGGTGAAAACCAGGGCTATATTTTTTAATGTCTTAAGTCTTTTGCTTTTCCTTTAACCAGGTCTGAAATGGACATACAGTCTGCTAGCTCTGAAGGCATTCTCATTGGCTACTGCCCACAGCAAGATGCTCTGGATGAGCTGCTGACTGGCTGGGAACATCTTCATTATTACTGCACCTTGCGTGGAATTCCAAAACAATATATCCATAAGGTAACTATCCAGGGTATTTTTGTAAGAACTGAAGCTAAGCTGAGTCATAGAGTTTATAAAACAATTGCACTCTTTTATAATGGAAAATATCCAGTGTTTCTTCTTAAGAACTTTAGTAGTAAGGTTTTTCATTGTTACTTCTTTTTAAAGAGTTTAGATGTTTCCTCCTGTTACACCAGTTGAAAACACAGTAACATTGCTGAGAACAGGAGAGCTGCTTGAATGACAGTGTAATTTTGGGCATATAAGCTCTCGAGTTCCTTGCACACTATGTAGTATCACTGAGCAAGGTTACTCCATGTCCCAAGTCATGCACCTCTGAAAATCCCTTTTCTTCAGCAGACAAGATTTAACTCCGAGGAAGTGTGTTGTACAGCAGTCCCTAAAACCTTCTAGTTGCCTTGCCAGACCTCAGGTTGTTCAAAGGTTTGCATGTCAAACCCTTGTCAGGAAATGCTTTATCAGCTTCTAATATAGATGATTACAATATCTGGGAATATGGGAAGTACTTTAATTTAGTGATACACTTTTAGCCTGCTACAGGCTGTCTAGGCACAGGCTGAGCTCTTTATCCATAAAGAACTAATCACTCAGACAATGTCAGAAATGAGGTTGTACACAGACCTCTCCCATATGGGTAGAGTGTAAAATATGTTTGTGTCTACAGATGAAAGCTTCTGATGTCACCTATACTCAAGCAGTTCAGTCCACTGTGCTTAATTACATTTTTATTAGCATGTGAGAACTGGATTGTGATCTCAAATCAGTGTCATAATTTCTCATTTCTGCTGAGTTGGTCGCATATACATTAGCCTAGATCATCCTTGACACTTCTAGAATGTTGCCTGCCTTCCTCCTGTGGTCACTTTTTCCAGAACTCACATAACTGGAATCTCTTCTAGTCTAGCTAGTGATCGTTATCCTAGCTATTGCTTTATGGTCCACTGAGTGGTTTAGAGTCGGTTCTTGTCTGTGTGTCAGACTGGATGTTCTTTCGGTTTTTTAGTGCTTTCAACAGCTAGGTACTATTCCAGGAAAAGATGTTTCTGTCGTGAATCACTGAGTATTCAAAAACAGTCAGCTTCCATCTTGTCCTAATAGCAGCATAATGTTAGGCAATGTGTTGAATGTGTTTGCTCTTAAGGTGATCAGCTGAGTGTTCCTGGATCAGAGGTTGAGGGAGATTAAAGATTCTTCCAAGCTTTTGGTCCTTTCTTTGGGCAGCATGCTTAATAGATCCTGGCTGAACATGAGTTTCTTGCCTTGCAAAAACACCTCTTGCGATCTGCTTAGATTTTCTTAACTCATCTTTGATATATTTTCCTTGATCATACTGGCAGAGACTGTAAACTTGAACATATTTAATTTGATATGAAAAAAATATATTAAGGTATAATTGTTATTGCACTAAACTCCTCAAATGTACTTACTTGTCTTCTCCATAAACTGGAGAAATTCCACACCATATACCCTATATATAGATATATGGATATATAGATACTGTACTGCACCCTGATACTCTACATACAATAATATCTGGGCAAGAGGCTCCCCTAGTTAAAATAAAACATGGGTACGGGGCTAAAACGCTTCAAGGCTGAAAGGACTGCAAATAAATGTTAGTGAATGTAAATGCTAAGATTTGGGGCCAAACTCTTCTTGAGGGTGGCCAGTGACAGGACAAGGGGTAATGAGTATACATTAAAACACAGGAAGTACCATCTGCATGTGAGGAAGAACTTCTTTACTGTGAGGGTGACAGAGCAGTGGAACAGGCTGCCCAGGGAGGCTGTGGAGTCTCCTTCTCTGGAGATCTTCCAAACCCACCTGGATGCCACCCTGTGCCCCGTGCTCTGGCTGTCCCTGCTGGAGCAGGGGGTTGGACTAGATGATCTCTAGAGGTCTCTTCCAACCTCAACCATTCTGGGATTCTGTGATTCTATGAATGCACTTAAATATATATACATCTTCCATAAGTTATTGAATACTTCTCATTCGAAGTGATTTAAAGCAGGAAATTGAAGTTTGATTATTGAATTATGCATCAGTGCTCTTAAAATCGTGTTGACTTGGCTCTTAAGCTTTTTTTGTCTTTTATTTCCATAAGAATGGACAATATATTCTTACAATGTATACATTGAAATGGTACACTGTTCCTATAAACGCGGCAATTTTTAAGACAGTGTAGGAAGAATGTAAGCTTTAGAAGAATCTAAATAATATAATTGCCTATATCTAATTAAAATTCAGAGTATCCCCTTAACTCATCAATGCTGGTGGGCCGTACACCAGCCCAGTTACAGTGTTGCTCTTTCAGCAAGCTGACTCCTGGGTGCCGGGTAGACATGCTCCTTTGTGAATGGATTGAGACACATAAATTTGGAGATTTGGCCCTATTCAGAGAAAAATGGGTAGAAAAGAGGCCTGGGAGAACCTCCCCACAGTTCAGACAAAAGCTTGCTCAAAGAATAAGAATTTTTATAGGCAACTTGCACCTGCCAAGAGGGTTGACTTTCAGTAAGAGCCAAATTAGGGCTTTTAGTGCTGTGCTGCCTTTGTGACTCCCAGAGCCACAGGTTCTTAGCAATTCTTTTATTTTAGTACCCGCAGCTGTGAGTGTAATCTGTTAAGATGGTTCTGGCAGACATCTTTCTATTAGTAATTCCTCATCTGTGGAAAAGGGGAGACAGTAGCATTAAGATGTGTTAACTGACCCATCCATTGCAATAGGCTATTAATTCTTTAATCTTATATTCCAAGCAGGCCTTGTCAACACCATATAATAGAGGAGTGTGTGTGTGTGTACACATGAATCTTGCTGTTATTGCTTAATTTGTGACTCTTTGAGATCATTTGACTGCCCAGCAACAACTTTTTGGAGACAGCTTCGCTGTCTGGATGATGAGTAGAATCGAAGCTATGTAGAATCTTGAAAATGCGGATAGATATATGGTGTTCTTGAGGACCCAGATTTCATAAATTTAGTACTACATAGGAGAGGTAATTTATATCAGGAGTCTGGGAAATTTTCCAGATTGCAGTGAGCAGGATGATAGCAACAGATTTGTATGCTGTGCCTGCAGGGATTTTTCTCTGCATGTGCATATGTAAATGAAAAAAATTGTAAATGCAGTCGGGTTTTACCAGATTGGTAAGGAGCCAGATGGTTACAATGATTTCACTACAAATAGTGAGAATTTTACTCTTTATGAAAGAATTGGCATTCATAAAAGCCCAATTCAAATATGTAAATATATATGAATAAATGGTGTACATAAGCGCTTCTACTTTATATCCACATCTTGCTGTTTTCTGAGTAACTTGTGCATAGATACTTCCATGGCTCTTGCCTAAGCCAGTGGGAAAATTGTTCCTCAATGGTATGGGAATTTACATCCTGCTTCTGCTTCAAATAGATCAAAATCAACTCCTTGTTATGCAAAAATGAGTTATATGTTACTGCAGTGCACTGAAAGATGACAGCTGTTAATCTTCTGATTATCCTTAACCTAAGACAGTCTAGGTACTTTCACATCTGTAATACAGAGATCACTGTTCTTTTCACTAACCATTGCAGGCAGACTTTCCATATGCTTGCACTCAAGGTATTAAAGGATTTCTGCAAATAATATTTAGCAACTCTGGTCTGACTTCATCAAAAACTGAAATGAAGCTATCTCTGAGCAGAACAAGTGTTTTTGTCAGTGAGCCCCTCCTGACATGTGGTATTGCTGTGAAGTGTTGAACAGCTGCTATGTTTCAACTCAGAAATGGCTGGTGACTGGAGAAAGTCTATGTTTTAGCTGCCTATAAAGAAAATAAGACCTAGGAATGCTTTGTAGCAGCTGTATAGAAATGTAAGCTAATGTTTTCTTATTCTTTCCTGTCTATGATAGGGTGTTCCCAGCCTGCCTGCAAGTGCTTACCAATAAGTGCTTATGCTAGCTGGCATGTATAGATATATTTTAAGGAGTACACAATTTTGATTCCAAAGTAGAGAGCAATATTTGTCCTTTTTTAAAATACATTGGCCAGCAGGTAGGTGACTTGGAGGATATGTTGCTGCTGAAGAAGTTCATTGAAGCACTAGCCAGGAGGATAAAATCCTTTGCTAAGCAGACTTAGCAGCAGCAGGAGTTAAGTGTCTGACATAAAGTTGAGTGCACATAATGTTCCAAAACAGTAATTAACTGAATTGGAAAGAAGGAGAAAAATGGGTCATTTGCTGTCAATGTTAAACTTCATGCAATGTGAAGTTATACTTTACTTTTCAAAGCTGCTCTAAATCACAGAATCACAGAATGATTGAGGTTGGAAGGGGCCTCTAGAGATCATCTAGTCCAACCTCCCTGCTCCAGCAGGGACACCTGGAACATGTGGCACAGAATGGCATCCAGGCGCGTTTTGAAGACCTCCAGATAAGGAGACTCCACAGCCTCCCTGAGCAGCCTGTGCCAGGGCTCTGTCACCCTCACAGTTAAGAAGTTCTCTCTTGTATGGAGATGGAACTTCCTGTGTTTCAGTTTGTACCCATTACCCCTTGTCCTGTCACTGACCACCACCAATAACAGTTTGGCTCCGTCCTCTTTACATTCTCCCCTCAGGTACTTTTATATGTCAATAAGATCCCCTCTCAGTCTTCTTTTCTCCAGGCTAACCAGGCCCCAGATTGCTTCGTCTTTATTCATAAGATAGATGCTCCAGTACCTAGCTGGATAGATGAGGGCAGAGCGGCGGATATCATCTATCTGGACTTCAGCAAGGCTTTTGACACCGTCCCTCACAGCATCCTCCTGGGCAAGCGCCGAAGGAGTGGGCTGGGAGGTGGATTAAGGTGGACTGGCTCAGTGGCAGGGCGCAGAGAGTGGTAGTCAGTGGCGCGGAGTCCAGTTGGAGGCCTGTAGTTAGTGGTGTCCCCCAGGGGTCAGTCCTCGATCTGGTCCTGTTCAACTTACTCATTAACGACCTGGATCAAGGGATGGAGTGCTCCCTCAGCAAGT